GGATACTATTCTTTAGAAATCTGCTACATTATGTCTCCGTGCTTTTCGCATCGTGATAAGGATTTTTTTCTAAATGGTGAATAAACTACTCGTTTTGTGGATTATCTAAGCATATCTGATGACATATATTCCACTGCATGATACAACCTCCAATAGAAGGGACAGAATTAATCAGCGGTATTCAATAAAAACAAGGTTATTCCATTTTTCTGACACCATAACAACGCACCTAATGATCAAATCAAATCATATTGCTTGGTTTTTATATAATTACTTGTTAGGCAAGTTTTTTATCTCTCTCTGGCTACAGCGCATGTCAACATTTTATTTTCTTTAACTAAAAGGATTACAAAATACAGGAGTATCCATATGTTGTTTAGTACCACACTATTATTTATATTAATTCAGATGAAATGCCTCATAACTATTGATTGTCATTTTTTCCATCTCTGATTATGCATAATGAATAGCGAATCAACAGAAGAGTGATATTCTCCAATGTACAATTAATTGATCTCCTCTAGGCGACAACTCAAAACTACTACCACTCTGCTTTGTGATGAATTTCAGTTGCTCTACTGTCGTTTTGTTTTACGTTGACCTCTAGGTTGATGCAATTCACGAGACAGTTTCATTGTAAATTTCCCAAGCTTCTGTCTGTGGCCCCATATGACAGATAATCTAGCAGTAAGACAAGGAGGCTTACCTAATATTTTAGGCATAGGATGTATAATCGCATCCATAAAAAAATAATCGAATAAAAGCGGATACAAATGTTTTTTTAGTTCTTTTTAATTTTATTCCAAATACTTATGTGTTTAAATATTTTAATGTACGTCTGTATTTCTATGCATCAGTTATACTTTTTAGCAATTAGACTAGAACTTTGCATGAGTCAAGGCGCAACAACGATTAATGGCCCAGGAAAAAGCATTAATGCGATTCCTTAATGACGAACATGCATTTGATTGAGATTATAAGGTCACTAGAAGTCTAGAATGATCCTGGGAATTATGACGACTACTATGGCAGATGACTTAGGACAAGGTGTGCTCAACTAAGTCGTCCTGACAACAAGACCAAATTGCGAAAACTAGGTCAACTTACTTCTAAAAATCGAAAGGCCACAACAGTTCGGTATTCATATCTTCGATTTATCGGTTTGACTTCTTTCTAAAGAGCTGAGCGAGTAATAAAGAAGGGAAGGAGTATAACCGTTTTCAACGAAGCACAGAATATTGCTTAGGTTATCTATTCCTTTAGGGGAAAATTAGATCCACCATTCAGGCCCAGTAGCTACAAACTTGTGTGCTCATGTCATCGTAATTATATTTGTTTGACAATTATCACCCCGTTTTCTAGAAGTTAACCAAACACAAAGGCCTGTAAGAGCTGCTGGGTCCAACGTTCACTAGTGACTGAGCCTTTACTGGAAATATAGCACAGCATAGAGTCTCGCAATGTCTATGTTACTAAACACAGACCAAGAGAGGCTATAGTAATTAGCAGATGTAAATAAGCCGTGGTATGTGAGTATTTTGGTTAGGAATTCGGATAGGAAATTTGATGATTCTGCCCTGCCACTTTGCTCTAATCGAATCCTTTAAAGTTATTGCAGATGGCTTCGTTCACTAATGTCCAGAAGTGCAGACGTACACATGCACACCCACATTCGAGCACACAAGTATTGGTATCAACATAAAAGGTAGGTGACAAAAGCGTTCTGTATTCTTTTATTCGGTTATTTTTTTGCCCTTTCCTACATGAAAGGTCGTTGCTACTGACCCCATTCGTGACGACTTAAATGATTTTGTGTATGAAGTATCTTGCTATGCAGCACCTGAGTATAGTGCTTCGGTATGCATAGTAGCGTAGCTTCAAAAGCGTCTCATGTAACGAGGAAAATACGTGACTTTATTATAAGAACAGCAAAAATAAAAAATAAATGCATAGGGGTCCCTATGCCAATTTTAGCCTAGCCCGACTGAATAAGTAAATAAAAATGAACAGAAGAAGACTTGCTCAAAGTAAGGTCTTTATGGCACAGGATAATTGAGGTTCGTCGAACTGCCTTAATGCCTCGAAAGATGAGGACGAAGGCGCAACGCAAGCACATGTGCTAGTGTGTAGGCCCTAGGGCAAGTTGTGATTTGCCCCGACTCACAGGTTTCAAATAAACTTAACAATCCGGCCCGTTGAAATGGCTGCACTGTGCTGGATTGCACCTTGGTAACCAAGTTTGTCTTGGAGGGCCTAGTGATGGTCTCCTCAAGGGTCAACATAGGTGCCATGTCTGCGAGAGTCTCGATGCCTGAAGTGTTCAACTCGAACTTAATAAGCAGTACAGATGAGTCATTATTATGATGTTTATACGGTCCCAAGGGATGTACCGGCGCAGTTTAATCACTCTTAAAGAAGCATTGACAGTTTTTGTTGCATGAGCCTCATTCTGAGGCACTAATATGGTCCGGACTGACCATATTATTCAATTTTTGTCGAATATACCCATTGCCAGCACCTTTTACGCCCTGATTACTTTAAGATGTGGTCAATTTATTTGACTTGTATGTGGTTTTGGTGGTGAAAACACCCTTGATTCCACTTGATGTATAAACTTATCCAGTATATGAACGTATCCTGTCCACAGTCCACTGTCATGGCTACTTGGCTAATTGACGATACCGGCGACACGTATGGGAATTTATCAAGTCTATGATCAGATGCTGGAAATCGCTATGAATGATATGACAGGAGACACCGGACAAGATGCTTTCATATTGGTCGTTTTGGCAACCCGATTAAGCTGCAAAGATATGATCAAATCACTTTCAACTCATTACACTTCGACTCACCCTCGAGACATGTCGCCCAATTGCTTGTTGCCTTGCCCTGATACAGCACAATCGGAGGAGGCTTGCTCGGAAGCAGACGAACAGTCCACATGAACTAAAGACATCTGCCTGCGCCACCGGTAACACACTCTCAACTGGTGTTGATGCGGCTGGACCAGTGTCCTGTCCGTCGGAGGGACACTTCCTCACCTTTCCGATGCTCCGTACAGCCAACACCAAGGCAACCGGAGAGGGCAGAACAAGAGCTCGTCCATCCGGTCAGAGGCTAGCAGCCTCGGCTCTGTCAAGCCAATGCGTCAACAGTCCTGGTCTGGCAGTGGCTGCTTCGACTGCCCAAGCCGGAAGCATGTTGTCAGCTGACACCAGCGGCGGCCAGTACAGTCGGATGCCAGTCCAAGCGACCAAGGCCGGAATATTCCCTTCTGCAAAAGAGGCATATCTACACTCACAGCACCAGCTCCAGTTGCCGAGCCAACATTCCGGCAGACTGGCCTCCATTGCGTACACATGCGGTACGATGAGCTTTACCGCCGCATCCTCCATGATTCGTGCTCACGAGAGCACAAGGTGATCAGTTGTGATTATCCCATATTCAATGTTCTTCTCATTCACCCCATCCAGACATGATCATATGCGGCAAAGAGGAGATAATAGTAACCATGGTCACTCTAGGTCACATAAGGAGGTGGAGCGCTGATAGATGAGTCCTCTTACAATCGGATGAGTAGCACTTATGCTGCTACTGGGTATCACTTAGCTTTGAATTCTAAAGAATATTCCCATCCAAGCTGGAATGCAGTTTCGACCTTATTAACACCCCCAACAAGATCCACATTCAGGTGGTGCAGAGTGGGATTTCGACGTATCAACAACACATCACACTATATGATTGCTTCCCACTACACAATGTGGTATGGAAAAGGTCTAGCTTGCTCGGTAATTCACTTCTATCTCGTTGCCTACTGGTATACTTGCCAGTGTGGCGTGTAGGTAGCGTGCCAATACTATACACTGCCTCACCTGGATTCAATTCCGGTTTGGGCTCTTGATGAGACTTGAATAAGCTCGAACCTGTTGTCCAACCTGGATGAGAATATCACTTTGAAGCCATGTGAAATTGAACTGAATCGTGAGGCCTACTGAGATGTGAAAAAATTCAGTCAGGCCTTTATTACCTTATGCGTTCTAGAATGTCTAAAGCTCTTATCTAAACTCTACTGCTAGTCTCAAAATCCTATTAATTGGAATATAAGAAGAGATTATCCGACGCAAAATAAGTGAAATTGAGTAACTACGATCTGTCATTCGTTTTTCGTCTACCTTATTTCTCATGCTTATGGAGGGAACTGGTGTTGTCATAGCTTTGCCTGAAATTCCACCAGCAGAATAGTAACTTGCATCATTTTCACAATTACTAGTTTTGATTTAGTTGTACCACTGCTAATGTCAACTATTGATGCTCATCAACACGATGGGCAAAGGCTCAATCTGTTGGGCGCTCTCCAAAGTCTCCAAATTAATAGCAC